CGCCAGCCCCGCGCCCCGCCCGGTCCCGCCGGCTCCGCGACGGCCCCTCCGCGCCTTTCCACGCGAGGTTTCAAAGGCTGCGAGCTGCTCCCCTTTGCCCATTCGTCTTCTGTCACTTCCTTCCTGGACGCAGTTTTCTGGACGACTCTGGTTACTTTTAATCCGATCGGCCGCGGAGAGCCACTTTCTCCTCCTCCTGCTCCTTTTTCCCCTGCCTCCACCTCCTCTTCCTCCTCCTCCTCTTCCTCCTCCTCGTCCTCGTCCTCTTCGGAGCGGCCTGGGTGCGCGCGTGAATGCGCGGCCCCGCGCGCGCCTCCCCCCAGTGCGCGCTCCCCGCGCGCGCGCACACGCGCACACATCGTCTCCAGCTCCCTGCTCGCGCTGCTCGCAGTCACAGACACTTGAGCACACGCGTACACCCAGACATCTTCGGGCTGCTATTGGATTGACTTTGAAGATTCTCTGTGGGTCGCCGTGACTGCATGTTTGAATCAGTTGAAGAGGCACTTCAAGGCTGGACGAAGTAAAGATTATTATTTCCCTTTCTCTCTCTCTTAAGAAAGGAAAATATCCCAAGGACTAATCTGATCCGGTCTTCCTACATGTGAGTACCTCTGACATATCTCGGAAAATAGAAATAGCCTGGGTATTGTCTCTGAAATTTGCATCCGTATCTTCCAGGGCACCGGCTCGCTCCCTGTGCCCTTTTTAAAGGCTGAAGTTAAGACTCGTCGGGCATTCTTTTTCTTAGGTTCCATGATTTCCTTGTGTGCTGCAAAAAGTAACTTTTGAGGTAGTCGTATCTGTCTGCCGTCAGTTTCTGCGATCACTCGTGACTCCTTTCTGTCACACCAGTGTGTTGAAAGTTTCACGAAGTTAGTTCACGTCATTAGCATGTTTGATGTGGTGGAGAGTGTGGAGCGTGGTGCATTTTAGTATTTCACGGAGTGTTCTGTGACCTTGAAGTAGATTCCTTAAGATGTAGCAGTTAGTTCACTGTG